TAAAATGTTCTATGGTGTTTAGCAGATTACTCTGCACAGGGTTTTACATTATGGAGTACATAGAAGATACTGAGTTTTTAATTCCAGCTTTGCTGCTTTACTGGGTGATCTTGGACAAATTATTTAATCTTTCTAAGCCTCAGTTTCTTCATCTATAAAATGGTGACCATAATAGTGCCCACATCATAGGATTTCAAAGAAAATTAAATGAAAAAAAAAATTGGTATAAAATCTCAGCAGAAACCACAGCATGACATTATTATATTATACAATATACAAGTTGTATGAAGTTAAGCAAGGTACTTAATCTTGTTTAGTTCCATCATTAGTAAAAAATAAACAAACAAATAAATAAATAAAGACAATATTAAGTATCTTGCAGGGGTGTCATGAGGTTTGATAAAATTTATGAACGTGCCTAACATAGTGTTTGGCACATATTAGGAACTCAATAATAGTTAATTTCCAACCTACCTGCTTTCTTTTTCTCTTCTCAGAGGAAATCAATAAATGTTTACTGGATTTTCAGTGACTTCTTTCATGCAACGATTTTATGACTGCTTTTTAGTGCTTCTATACATGGATGCAAGTGTTCGATATCAAGGTGACTTTGACAAACTGTTCTAAAGCTCCAAGGAGAATAAAATGCAGTGTTCCCTCAGAGAGGCAACATAAAGGAATTTGGTAACCTAGTTCAAAGTAATTGCCCAGAAAGTGGCTCCCTAGTGAAAGCCCCACTGACAAACAGCAAGCCCACCTCTGACTTGAAAAATGGAATATTGGATTTCAAAGAGAAAGATTTGTTAAAGAAAAGAGGGCCCTCAACTGTTGGGAAGACCCATCCCGTTTGCATTAAAAGACTGACCTTGAGATGTTTTCAAGCACTGATTCTCAATATTCAGTTCAGTGGATCCTATGTGTCTACTGATAAAATCATGGTGAACTTTTTCAAAAGAGTAGAATTGCTTAAGTCAATAATTAGGATTTTCTCAATTTTATATCAACTTCCATATATTTTTTAAATTTGGCTACCACTGCTTGCTTAGACTAGAACTTAAAAGAACAATGATATGTAATTTATTGCAGAATTATACTTTTAGTTATTTTAGGATCTCATTATTTCATGAATTCTCAGTGTTCAAATACTTGAACAGTAAGAAATGCGTTATGAAAGTAGTTTTGTTGCTTTGGGTATTGTTCAGCAGATCAGAATAAGGCAAACATGTTGCCTAAGAGTTAACAGGGGACCTACTTTCTCAAAAGACAGGGTCGATTTAAAACCAACGTGTACTATTATACTTGTCTGAGCAACAATGGACATAGAGCTATATCTCATTCCTCTTTGCTTCTCTGTGCCTAGAGCAATGCCTGGGACATAGTTAGGCCTCGGCACATGTTTGCATCTTTATAGAATTGTACGTATGAACAAAAATAAAAGCTTTGATTTGAGAGCGCTTTAATAGCTTATTGAAAGTGCCTTGAAGATGCAATCTTGAATTTTATTTCCCTCATTTTCTTTTTCCATGGAATTGTCTCCATTTCTGATTCAGTGTCACCTATTCCTAGGCCCCTGCCCTACAAACTCAAATCAATAGGTAAATTTCACTTTCCACCCATCTTATTTTACAAATGAGCACACATTGCTCTATATTGTATAGTTTATGCACAGCTCTGTGTTGGGCAGTGCAAGCTGTAGGCATCAGTGAGGTATCATCCTTGTTCTTAGAGAGTTAGTATTGTGGGGGAGGGGGCAGAGATACACAGGCAACTAATTATATTGCAAGGCAGAAAAAATGTTGTAGTTAAAGTACAAACAAAATGCTGTGGTTGCAGAGTGGAAAGAGTAATTAATTCCAACTGGGAGGATCAGGGACAGGGAAGGAAAGAAACTAATATTTATTGAGGGTTTAAAAGAGGCCAAAGGCGGGGCTGGTGCTTTCTTTCCCTCAGGCTCTGGGAGGAGGCTGTGCTGAAACTGAGCCCTGGTATGTTTGCCCATAGGGTCCACGCTGGGGTGTCAATGTTCAAGAAGCAAGGAGACCGTGGGAAGCCACCCTTCTGCTGGTCCCAAGAGGCTGGGACCAGGAAGAGAAGCAGTTTCAACCTGAGATAGTTTGGTAGGAAATGGGGTTGGGAAGGGAAACTGATTTCAGCTAAGGTGAGGAAGTGGAGAGAGAATTCTAGGCAAAGATTAAGTATGTTAATAAGAATAGGCTTCAGTGTGAGGGGAGGGCAAAAAAGGGAAGGGGAATTAGAGGAAAGACAAGCTCCACATTTATGTTGGTGGATACAAATTACGGAGAGGAAGAAAGCAGGGATTGGGAGTGGGCTGGGGAGTTGTGATAAGGGCACATAAGGGAGTTTGTTCAGTGGCAAGAATGAGTCAGTCCAAGGTTCCAAAGGAAGCAGAGGCCAGTGGATGTACCAGCTTGCTTTGTCCACTTGGGTGCTTCGCGCTCCACTAGGCTAGTGAGGGTCAGCTGATCCCTACAGGAGAAGGGAGCAAGTATTGGTTAGTTTGTTAGGTTTCTCTCCCAATGAAACCATCCATTCCTTGAGAGCACAGACTGTCTTCACCATTCCCCAAAAAGCCTAGTGCTGGAGTGGGCATGTGGCAGGATTTTCACAAAATCATAATTGCTTCAGGGCAAGCAAGAAGATAAATTTCAGCAGAGTCAAAAGGCTAGTTATGGATTTTACAGTGCTGTGGAAGTTTAACCTGAAAATTAACCACACAGTTACAAAGAAGGTTAAAGCCATTTATGACTCCATGATCAAGAATTATTTCTAATGCTGTAATTTTACAGAAAGAAAACGGTGTCAATTGATTAACTTCTATAGTAATTTGTTAGCTGCTCATTATATTTTCCTGTTTTGACTAATGAAAACGTTTAGAGCTGCATCTTTATGAAGGCTAAGTAGGCCAGGGAGTTTGCCTTAGAATAATTAGAGAATTTTGCATTGTCAGCCAGTGGGATACCTACTTCTGGTGTAGCTTCATAGAACATTTTTTTTTTTTTTTCTATTCTCTCTTCCTTCCCTCATTAGTGTCTGTTATGGAACAAAGCCCGACTCTCTAGAATGCCACTATAAAACATTCTGCAAACATTTATGGAACTGATTCAACTGATCTAAACTATTATTAATTTACAAGTTAGGATGGCAAGAAGACAAATTTTATTCCGATGTGGGATAACTTAGGGAAATTTATAATATTAGGGCTTTAAAATGTTTTCTTAACTTACGAGAAGGGCTAAACCAGAAAAGAAAATTTATGGTAAACATGCCTCCTCCGTCTTTCTGTACTCATGGTGCACATCTATAATCTATAATGCCACTCTCTTCCTCTGAACCTAGATATGACTTCAGCATCCTTCTTAACACAGCACTGTAAACAGCAAAAGGTTGAGATTGGCATGAAAGATGAACTAGACAGGTAATTGCTCCTAAAAGACTTTAGAGCCCCAGGGGTAGATACCAGGTGTAATTTAGGACTTGACATAGAGTAGGTTCTTAATAAATGGTTTTTGGAATGAATGATAGATAGAGAGATAGATGAATTAATGGATGCATGAGTGAAATTTCTTTTTTTTTTTTTCTAAAAGTAATATGGGAATGCCTGTAGGATGCTTCCTTCTCTGTGTTGTAGGAAATGCATTGTGTATCATTATGTACCTTGCAAACACCAGCTCTTAGAATGATAAAGTGGAAAGACATACCATAAAGGATATCTAGTGAATTTCTTAGAGAATATCTAGTGACAGGTTTTCAGTTTTACAGATATGAGAATAAGGTACAGACAGGGCATCCATCTCGAGTGCAGGCTCCGAGCTTGGGAGCCACTCTGCCTTATTTCACATCTTGTTAACTGTGTGGCCTTTGGCGTTTACTTTGTCTTTTCATCTGTAAAATAGGGATAGTGATCTTGTCTGCCTTGTGGGGTTGTTGTGAAGCTTAAACAAGATAAGGAATGTTTACTATGTGCCTGGTACATGGTAAATGCTAAAAAATGTGATAACTTTTCTTCTTTTTCCCTCCTTTTTATTGGTAGTAGCTGAATCAGTACTGGTACTGTTGGTAGTTTTATCATAAGGTTTATCATATTATGTTTTGCTGTGTTTTCCCCATATTTTCAATGAATTGAAACCTTTTAAAAGCCATCTCCATTTTAAATACACAGAAATTGACAAAGAGAATATAATTCTTATTAAATAAGAAAAAGACATTTCCTATGTGGAAAACATAAAATTCCTGAATTTCATGCTCTTTTCTTTGGCTAATCATATCATTGCATTATACATAAATGCTCCAAAAAATATACATGTTCATAAAAGTTATCTTTAAATGATATAGTAATAAAATTTAATTTAAAAATGAGAGTCCTGAGTTGTCCTTTAAGAAAAAAACTCAACATTTATATTATATATTCAGACTGTTGGGTCAGTCATTAGTGGGTGGGTCTGAGTGGGGGTGGGGAGAGGAAAGTTGTAATTGGCTTTATGTTGGTTGCCAGGAAACATGCAAAAGCAGCAAGAACAGAGGAAACAAACAACTCCCATTGCTGGGAAGGTGGCCTTCAGAGGGGTGTACTTCACTGAAATGGAAACCTTGCTGCTGTATCATCTAATGTCTCCAGACCAGAAAATGGACTTTGAAACCACATGTTAATAGAGGCAAGGTTAACCAAAGAGCTTTTGAGAAGTTGCTTTTCTAATGCATTTAAAATGAGGATTAGATGCTGCACTCTGTGTCAGTTGCTATAAACAAGGGGGAAACTTTATACATTTTAATCAAGCCGGGTTCAACAGAGTATAAGGAGGGGGTGTTTTAAAATGATTCAACTGTGGACTTTGAAAATAAACTGTGGAGTTAAGGAAATGTGGGGGTCGAGGGCTTTCATTCCCTCTCCCTTAAACATTTTGACTTCTTATTGTGTACCTTGACATGTACTTTTATCTTGTAATTCTGTTTCTAAATTATGTTTCTTTTCAAAGGCACCTGTTTACGGAAAAAAAAAAGTATATCGTTGAAGGCAGTTGAAAAGAGGCGAAACCATTATGAGTTCTCCGAGCCACTCACTTGCGTTGAACAAGGGGTCACAACCTGGGCCAGACAGAACAGAAGGAGAAGACCACGGCTCATGCCTGCTTGAAAACCAGCTCAGTGTGGGCGACTTCGTCAAAATACAGAGGGCCTTCGAGGTAAGCATTAATCTTATTTACTGAAGGCTTTGAGTTTCTCATGGAGACTGAGATGAAACAGAGAGGTCCCCCAACTCCTTAAAATTTCTTAGATATTAAATGGTTAAAACAGGGAATTGAAAGAATTGGTCAGGCTTGGGTTTAACACCAGAGTAACTTTATTGCTCTGTTCTTCAAGCCAAATTATGTTATTTAGCATGAAATTGTTGGTGTTGAATAGCATTATCATTCAGGAAGGAAAATTAATTCTTGAACAAAATAATTTGTAGAGATCAACGTTTTTAGAAACCAAAAGTTATTGTTGTGAGTGGGGAAAGTCAGATCTCTAGGGTGACACCCTGTAGTAACTGTCCTTGCACGCAACATGGAAGTAGAACTCCGGAAATGCACCTATGCACCTCCAGTTTGCAAATGTTCTCCCTCCCTCACCATATCTGACACAGCATCATTTCAAAGCAGATTTTAGCACTTTATTGTCTCAAGATCTCATGCGCAGGACCAGTCTCCCACTTTTTGTAAATATTGGAGCATTGCCAATGAAAACATAATTTAAAGTTTCATTTTAATTCTACATATAACATAAACCTTGGGAATTTTAACTATAAAGGAATAATTTTCTTCTTAGTTAGTTAATTTGGAATTCCACAGCTGTGCACTGTAAAGAGCATACATCAAAAAGACGTTGGGTTTCTCATGCGGTTAGGAAGAAGTACTCTTCTGTGCTGTCTCGTTTAGGTTGGCATGAGCCTTCATCCTTTTTACTTCATTATGTTTGCTAAACTATGATCTCAGGGCTTCAGAAGGTCCTCCTGTGGTGCTTGGGAGTATTCATGTTAATTTGAAACAGACATACAATACTTTGGAATATCATTTTGAAATTAATGAACTATGATGAAATCTATTAGTTATATTAGCCTGTAGTTGGCACAAATTTTAATCTTTAGTTATCCAAAAACAGAGTTGCTAACCATGTTTTGTATAACAAGTTAGATTCTATCTGTGTTGATAAATTAATGTCCAGTAGTTTCAATCAGTTCTTTATAATAGAATCTATTATACTTAGTGCAAAGACATGCTCTGCCCTACACTTTTCTCATTTTAATCTTCATATTCATCCAACCTTATTTGTCTGAAAGATTTCAGTACTGCTCACATCCAGTTCCCCAAATGAATTTGGCATGTTTTGATAGACATAGCAAACATTTAGTTAGGACATTCAAAGAAAGGTAACAGCATATTATGACATCTTTGCCTCTGGAGTGAATAGAAATATGGCAGTTTTGTTCTGGTGCTAAGAATACAAGCAATTTGAATGCTCTGGTCTATTAGAAGAGTCAGCATTATAAAGTCTATGGATTAGAGGGTGAAACCGCTACAGAAGGTTGGAGGCAGGTATTCCTTTCAAACTACTGATTATCCAGAGTAAATCCATGTGAAACTGGTCAATTCAATCTCAAGATTTCTTCTTCTTCTTCTTTTTTTTTAAATGTTAAATGTTTCAAAGCCAGACCACTTATTTTGATATTACCAGTTGGAAAAGCACGTATTACCGCAGGACCAAAGGGGAGGAGACTGCAGTTCATAGCTTGCATGAATATAGAGAATCTAATGACAATTTTAAGAAAGGAATTAAGCATTGCAGGTGTGCTTTCAAGAAAAAAATGCAGTCCATCCATTTTTTTAACAGACTCAACACACAGGGAATAAAACAATCCTATGGCAAATATGCAACCAGGACTAAAAGTTAGGCCCTTGAGCCAACGCACTTTCTAAACACAGCATGGACTCCTGTGGAGGAATGATATACCAGGCAATTTCAGTGAAGTCCGTTCCATCTGCCACAAACATCAAGACCACAAGCTACAGGTGTGGATTAGGCTAAAAGGAAAAACTGCCCTCAGAAGCTATTCTGCAACACAGAACTCTGCATGCAGTAGTTTGTAGTCCAAGTACTAAAGACATGTTCTTGGAAATGCCAAGATTCTGACATAGTTCCATTTATCTTTTATTTTATTTATTATTTATGTGCAGATTTCTTATTTGGGCTAAAGAGTGGTCAGATACTAGGTGAAGTCCACTTTCTTTAATAGCATTGGCAGAGCTTAATTGAAAAATGGGAAGTTTGGTCTTTAAAATTATATAGCGAATGTTTCACAAATATTTCCAAATGAAATATTACTTACCATATAAATCTTAGGGATAACGTTTAGGGATAAAGTATGTAATGCTTCTGTTTATTGTATAATAGTACAAATGAGAATCACTTAGTGTTTAAGAGACAGGAGTCAGACTTCCTGGATTTGAATTCTAGTTTTGAAATTAACTTATAATGTGACTCGGCAAATCACTTAACCTCTTTGGGCCTCAGTTTCCTTTATTTCTAACATGGAAATAATAGAGTTGTTATGATGTTTAAGTGAGATATTATCTGGAGAGCACTCAAAGGAGTACTTGACACTTGTTAAGTGCTCAATTAACATAGGTATTACATATTCAGTGAATAGAGGTTTTACCACATGGCCTCTAACGTTCTCTTGATTCTGATTCATATATTTCCTAAAGGAAATTAAACTTCTAATGACACAACTATGCTTCTACATTCCTTTTAGTTGTGGTAAGAAGTAGAAGCAATAAAAGTTGCAAAGACAAATTCACATAAAAGAGTATAAAAGCATCATCTTTCCATCTCCTTGATCATATTTTATTGACATACAAAAGATTTTAATTGATGTCTTGAACCTCTTCTTCAGAGCAAAAACGTTACCTGGGTAGAAATACTAGAAAACTGGTGAATTTCATTTTTTTTCAAGTGATGGTGTCCAAAAAGCCATGTATCATCCTGAAGAGAGTGAAACTTGTATTATTCATAGAATTGTAAAATGGTGTTACTCAAATTTTCCTGTAGTGCTTGTAATGCTTAGAGAAGTGACATGATCTCTGGATATTCATATTATTTTAATATCGACTAAAATGTATTTTACATTTTCTTAGATACTTCAAAAGCCAGCTATTGTGGGAGGAATGATGGCTGTGGTTTGCTGCTTTTATAGGAATGCTGAGAGGTAGAAATTATAGTGCAACAAAAATGGAATGTGGGAAAAGCCCCAGAGATACTTGACATACATCGAGTTTCTTTCTAGAGTCTGGCTCTGCAGGGGTCTGAGTAGTCTTATTTTTGAATTCACTTTTGACCTCTGCATGCTGGACATTCTGCTCTTTGATCCTGAATGCCCTGCTGCCTGGGACTATAGTTTGCCTACATGGCTGGACTCACTGGATTGGGTCCTGACCTGCCTCTGTCAGCAACTGTCTCTGTATCATCTTCTGGAACATCCATCTGGCCCAGGTTATGGGTCCAGAGCCAGGGGCAGGCCCTATCCTGTCTACCCCATGTCTACTCCATGCTCCCATTTGCCCAAGCCCTGCTAAATCTTTAGATTTAAATAGCTAGAAATGAAATCTCCTAAGCAGTGGTCTCCCACACTTTTGGCATTAGGGACGGGTGCTCCCCTGAGAACCTAATGCCTGATGATCTGAGGTGGAGCTGAGGTGGTGATGTTAGTGCTGGGGAACGGCTGCAAATACAGCTGAAACTTTGCTGGCTCACCTGCTGTGCAGGTCCTAACAGGCCATGGACCACTACTGGTTCATGGCTCAGGGGTTGGGGACCCCTGTCCCAAACCATGTGTAAAAGGTGACATGTTTAAAATGGGCCAAAACAATTCAGTGTGAGAAAGGCATAGTAAAAATTCTAGGGGAAGTTCTCAGAGAGGTTCAGGGCTGGGTTCTCAGAACAAACTTGTCTTGGAATGAATGGAATCTAAACACAATGCACTTGTGCTAACTTCATCTCAGAAGACCAGAGAAGTTCAAGAGGCAATTCTGCAGGTCTGAAAATTGTGCTTGAGGTATAATAAAATGATTAAATCTCCATAGAATTTATGATCTCCTCATGCTTGATTGTCTTTGTATAATTCCCAAGATGCCCGCAGACAGATTCTTCCGCAGGGCCTATGACCTAGACTTCTTTGCTCCAGCAAGTCAAAGCTGAGAGTTTTGATACCCAGCCGGGCAGGCTAGGCTGTAAAGGGATGTAGAAAATAAGATTTAGCCTTTTCTACCTTTCCATTATTTGTCCCTCTTTCTAAACTCTCAGGATTCCTCCTATTCATTAAGGACCCAGTCTTCTCTTAGCCTTCTCATTGTCCATTGTACCTTCACTATCAAATTACCCAAAAGGACAGGACTTTCCGGATGTGTTTCATGTTCTAGAACTGTTCTTGATTCTTGCTTCTTTGCTTTATACCCCAGGAATCACCATCCCAAACACGTAAATGAAATCATGCATCATCGTTTCATTTCTTTTCCTCAGAACTGTTAGATTTTGCTTATCTCTAACAAAATGTGAGACAGTACATAAATTTTTAGATAAAACTGATAGTTAAAAACTGCATATTATGTTATCCAGTAAACTTCCAAATTAGAAAACTTTAATTTTTATGGAGCGCACAAATTGTGTAAAATAGCTCAAACATCATAGAGGTTTCTTTCTTACTCATACAAAGGAGAAAGCAGGTATTTCTAACTGGGAGGCAGCTCCAAGTAGGGATTCAGATACCCAGACGCCTTCTGTTGTCTACTTTCCACACTTGCCATCATGCATCAAGCTAGTATGGGGAGAAGAGCATGAAGGAGCACATGGAGAAGGTTTTGTGGGCCAGGCGAACATCACAACTGCAAGGGCAACTGAAAACTGTAGTCACATGTGTGCCCAGAAAACAATTTCACCCACGGTTCTTAGAGTTTAATGGTAAAAAAATTTCCTTTCCTAATAAACCAACATGTTTCATTTTGTAGATTAAAGAGAGTCATGTCCCTAATAGTGTTCTCTGTTTTGCTTCATCTTCCAGGAAGTTGAAAGCTAAATTTAGTATTCAGTTAATACAACTGTTCTTAGCATAGATTTTTCTGGAACAATTATCTGCTGTTTTCATTATGGC